CGCTCTTCATGTCTCTGACATTTTACATCATAAGTAGTTAAGAGGCCCGCTGTTATATTAAACATAATATATAGTCTTGTAAGCATTGTACTGCAAGAATGTCACTGTTGAAATATTAGAAACTCTACAGTTATAAAATACTAATTTTGCTTTGCTATGGATGTTTATTACGGTAGCATAGTTGGTGTCTTGTAAGATTAAGAGTGAAAGCTTTTGTAGCTGTAATATTTCTGTGCAGCAATATAGTACTTGAGAAAGTTCCATCAAAAAAATAATTATCAGGCCCTAAAAATCTAACATTACTCTTAGTTAAAGATGCATTTTTTTATGTTTTTTATTTCTTATGCCAGTCTTAGAGACTTTGTGGGTGACTTAGGCAATTGTGACAAAGCTGTTAACTACATTAGTAACTACTAATGTAGTACTAACTACATCAGTACACTATAGCTGATCGTTTTTGTATTTTATTTCAAATATCAATTACTTTGCTGGCTTGTCTTTTGATTTAGAAAACAAGCAACTTTCAGTATTTTTTTTCTTACCGTGTGTTTTTATATCACTTCTGCTTCATTGTTGCAAGGATTCTGCCTTTTCTTTGCAATACAGCTATTCCAAAGTTTAGAGTTTGGAAGCCTACTTCTGAACAGAGGGTTATGTAGTGATAAAGCATTATTATATTTAGGATTTGTTTTTTGGCTCAGGAAAGACAGCTGCTAATCAGGTATTATAAATGTCTTTCCTGAATGAACTGGACAAATAAACACCTAGAGTGCATTGGTTATTAAGTGTGCTGTAAGATAATAAGCACAAGGAAAATCCAACAAAAGTTTCACTGGGTTTTCTCATGTGTTTTAGGTAAAATACTTTCCCCCACAGTATATCACAATTAGTTGACGTAACATTTACGTTGTACCCGTGCTGTAAATACACTCCTGTAGTTACAGTAATTATTGATAGATATTATTTTTTGAAAGTTGTACAATAGATAATTGTGTTTTCTATCAAATAAAGAGCCTAATTTCAATAGTGAGCACATTTCTGTGCTAAGATTAGGAGTCCTTGAAGTTAAAATAAAATACCTGTGCTACTTAAAGACACCTAGGTCATACATTTGTTGCATAAAGCTTTGTAGTGGAAGTCCACTGCATTCAAGTTTGCTGTTGTAAAACTTGTGAAGTACATAGTTGTGTTCCCCAAAACGTAACATACCATAACTTTAACAAATTTAACTTCCTAAGAATTTTAAAATATTTTCTCTTTTCACCCATTTGTCAGCCTTCACTACAGCCTCATATGAATGTTTTGTTATGTAGCTTAAATTTAATTAATCACATGTGTCACGAACTTACTGTATGAATTTTTAAGTGTGTTAAGGCTGATTATGCTACTTCATATTTGAGAGCCCTGGACTAGTTTAGAAAGGCCTATGTTCCTTTAAATACATTAGCTTAATGAACTTTAAGGCTAAAGATGCTCCACAGGGAATGTGGTAAATTTTCCTTTCAATTTTGCTGATCTGAAAATAATTCCAGATACAGGCAAACTCTTTTCTCGGATTTAATTTTGCATGTTGAGTGAACAGGTTGAGGGGCTTAAGAACAAAAAACAGGGAGAGGGGTTATCTTGGTAACCTGGGACTATCTTTCCCAGATGAAATTAATCTTACTATTAGACAAAATCCTTCAGCAGCTGGCAAAACAGCAGGAACATGTCGATTCTGCTTCCTTGGTTACAGGGAATGATAGTGCACTTGACCTTCAGAGGAACAGGGTCACAGAGAGGGCATTTTAAAACAATACTGGCTGCTTTCTGTGATTGGAATCCTCAGTAATGGAGACTGGATGAAAATATGTGTGATCTGGCTAAAAGTGACCTCGACATTTCCCTTGGATTGTTTTGCCCTCAGAGGTTTGCTAAGGAAAAATGTAAATAGACTGCAGGAAGAATTTGACACTGTAAGTACTAGAGTCTGTACAGTGTACAGCTAGGCAGCTCCAGGAAGAAAACAGTACTTTCTTTTAAAGCAGATTATTTTTCCCCTGTCTCTTAAAATAAGTGTATTTTATGTGTTTTAGGGAAATTAGGGGGTCTTGAGCTATCTTTTATATTGTATGTATTATTTCCTGACTGTGTTTAAGTCACAGTGTTAGTGGTTACTTTTAAATGATTGTTAATTAAGCATTTGTAAAATGTGGTGCACTGAAGTTTTCTATGATATATGGCCTACTTTGTTTCTTTCTTCATGTCTTGAAGATGAATCTTATTAGAGACTCTTCCAGTCTCAAAGAAATTAAAGTGTATTTAGTTTTTTAAAATATATTTTAGAATTACAGAAATGAACCTTCGTTGACTTTGGAGGTCTAGGTTTTTGCACGTTCAACTTCCAAAGCAGTTGTTTAAAACATGATACACGTTACACAGTGTCATGTTTCTTCTGAACAACAGATTAGAATAGTCAATTTTATGTTTAATCTTTTAAGTAAACCTAATATAATGCTGAACTCTATTATCTTCCTGATATGAGTACTTACAAGCCATTCAAGCCATTTGCTTTCAGAATACTTTGATTAGACTTATTTGGGAGTCTAATTAATGACAGCTTAATTTTTCCTATAGTATTTATAGAAGCTGTCTCAAGTGAACCTTGTAAATATCTGATAGAAATTTTTTTTTTCATATCTTTACTTAAGAAGTCAAATTCGGTGCAATTGACTGGGTAGGACTATAATAAAGCGTCACATATTTATCTGTTCTGATCCTTTATAGGTTTGTGACAATGCTCAAGGGATAAATTTATCTGTCAAACAAAATGGCAGGAGATTTTTTTATTCCCTCACTGTTATAAATTGTGTTTTTCAAAAAAATACATTCCCTTTTTGCATTTGATTTATTTACCATGGTTGTTGTTCTGCTGTCAACCAATGGCATCTGTGTTCAGTATGGTAAATAAACTTGAGATTTTTAGGACCAGTCAGAAGTTCAAAGCTGTTCTTATTCCACTGAGTATTAAGTAGGCAAGTCTGAAAAAAAGGTAAAATTTTACATTTCAGAGTCCTACACCATCCTGAGTATGTATGCATATTAATAAGAGTATAGAAATAAACTATATGTGCACACTGAAGCATTTATTGGTATTAGACAAACTGTTCTCCATTGGTTCACCATAGGGTCTCAGCCAAGAGAAGACTAAAATATAGTCTGGTTTTAGTTTAATAAATATGTGTTCATAAATATTTAAACATGAAAATTACATTATCATCATATAATGGCAGCTGGCCTTAAACTTACCCAACTTTATAGAGAACTCACTGATAGACTTCAGGTAATCAACTAGTCATGTGGTAAGGATGAGAAATAACTCATATTACAGGAGACTGGAATTGATGAGTAAAAATAACCTTCATATGAGGATATGGTCAATTCTATAAAAACTGAGAAAGTGTTAAAGCAAAAAGCACTAGTTTTCATATTGACATAGTTCCTGGAACTTCCGTTGTACACTAGGACCTCTTTGCAGCAGGTACTTTACAAACCCAGAGAAAAGAAATTATTGTTTAGTCACAAAACGTTTACAGAAGAATTTCGGTGCGGTTACCATATATATACTGTCATTCTTTTTATAAGTTGCTGTAAGTCCTTGAACAGCATGGCAAAATAGATCTCTATTTATTTCCAAGCTGCCTGTGGTGCATCATGGTGTAAGGTTTGAAGATGCTTCAAAACAAGGCTAAGGATTCTATAATTGAAGGTGTAAGAATTGGAAAACAGTTTTAAAAGATCTTCTTGCTCTAATTTAGACCTTTTAAAGGGTGCATAGCTTAGATAATATGGCATGGAAGATAAAGAGGTCATTGTTCAAATGTGTCCTCTAAGAGTCTTGATTTTGGGAGTTGGTATTTTTCTTGCCTAGATATCTTCTTTTCTGCTGCTGGCTGCCTTGTGTCATTCAGTAATTGGAAGATTTGACTATTTCTGCATCTCTGCTGTATATTTTTGTCACTTATGATGGAGCTTTTGCGACCTGTGTATTAAAGATAGTTAGAGATAGTATGTTCGATTTAAGTTTTGCTTTTACAGTATATGGGATTACTTATGGTACAGGTGATGGAAGAGTAGAACAGTATGGCTTCATTAAGTGATGTATATTTTAACACCTTTGCTACCCCAAAGAAACTGCAGTAAATTTTCCTTGCTATCCAAACTGTTTTTTCTTTCTTTACATCACAAATGATTTTTTTTGTAGTTATACAGGAAGGCTTACAAAATTAAGATTTTTTTCCACGCAAGCTTAAATAATTACTAAATTGACACTGCCCTGTTGTCTAGCTGCATAGTCTTTGATTTAAAAATCATTCCATTAAAAGAGGATGTAATAAAAACAACTTGTGAGCTTCCTTGTTTTGGCCATGTTTCACTGCAGATATTTAACTCTAATTGGATACTCTCAAATTCCCATATAGAATGCAAGTATAATAATCAGTCATACACTAAACACAGTCCTATAGATTCTGTCGGACAATGTAAATGTATATTTAGGGGGTATTATGAAAACACAAATTATTGTTTACAATCACAATTTACAAGTATTGTAAATGATACAATTTACAATTATTTAAAATCACTGCAGGGGGGTTGGACTAGATGACCTTTGAGGGTCCCTTCCAACCCAACACATTCTATGATTCTATGAAAATAATGAAATTATCAAAATGTAAAATCTGTTTCAAAATGTAAGTAAGATCTATTTAGCATTAGGCAGACTTCTATAAAATCTAGGCTGCTAAGTCATTGACATTATAGAACATTTTTCCAAAGAAGAGAGCTTTGGCCTATATGCATTATTTTCAAATAAGTAGTTATAGGTTAAACTGAGTATAGAAGAAATCAGTAGTTCCATATTCTGTTAATTTTTTTTATAGAGTACGTCACCACAGTATTTTATTCTGGTTGAAATGGGATGTCTGTATAAATTTATATCGTACCGTAAGAATTTAAAGTGCTTGTTATTCAGATATGGTGCATGTGCAAAATTTGCTGTCAGCAGTCTTTTAAATATTATTGTGTTTTCCCATCATTTTATATAATAACATTCCATAAAGAATGTGACTGAAAAAGTATCCATGGTGTGCTGTTGACTGCAGACAGTAATGTCACCTCTAGACTTGCTGTAGTCTGCACCAAAGTACTGATGTCTTGTGTCCACTAACCGTTGTTCAAGTATTTTTGCAACTTTTTTGAAAGCACTGGTGAACGTACACAGTGTACGGCTCTAGAACAAATTTATCTCCTTTGTTTTGAGTTTTCTCACAAGAGTCAAAACATTGAGCCATGTCAGGGACTAGTAACTTGTAAAATGTACCAAGAAAGCAGAGCTTTCATAATGAGTACAGCACAAATAAGCATATGTATTTTTTTTCTGAGTTGCTATAGAAGTAGCAGAATGATTTAGCTTTCCCTCTATTCCATTGAAAACAAACAAGAAGAGATCAGAAACTATCCATGTTCTAATTCTTTGAGAACCTCCAGGATAATTTTGATATACCTTGTTTTGATTTTGTTTTGTTAAGCCCAATTTTTATGTGGCCACTTTCCAAACTAATAATGGTGAAAATGCGTGTATGAATAATGTAAAAAAATACATATAAACATCCACGTCTGTTGATACTTCTCTGTGTTAAAAACTGATATGATAGCTTCAGCTCATGTTCATATCTGAAAAAAATCCCAATAATACTAAATACGGTACTTTTTATAAGCATCTGTATCTTCTAAGCTTAATAAAAATGGGACTGGATGGCTGTGGGGAGTGGCAAGCAGTAGCTGTCTACCTGTGAGCTGACTGTAAAGACTATATCTATACTGTAAGGACTTCATCTATACTACTTTTACAACTATTAAGAAGGAACAATTAGTACTCACAGTTGCAGCGATAAATCTGAGGATGAACAAGCACAAAGTCTAAATATGCACAGCTGTGGAATTATGTGTGTAAATATACATTGCCAATGCCATATCCCTTCTGTAAACAGAAGATGAAGGCTGTCAAGCCAATGTTATCTTGCATGTTTATTAATTCATTGAAAAAAATCCAAGTTGCTTTAATGACTGTAACCTTTCCAGTAAATTTAGAATCCATGCTATAGGGCCATCTGATCTTTAATAAATATATATATTTTTATATATGGGTTTTTTAAAGCATTCAGTAAAGTAAAATTCTATATGTTGTTTACAGGTGCAGACTGTTCAGACTTCACTATCTGAATCTCCAGTGATGACCAGCCCTTCCCAACGTATCCAGATAATTTCCACAGACTCCTCTGTAGCTTCACCACAACGCATTCAGGTAAAAATCTATTGATTAAATAACTATTGCATCTTATTTATTTTCTCCTCCTCCCACTTAGGTTTGTACAAAAGCATGCTAAAGTCTATGGAAGACTTGCTTAAATTTTGTAAGAACAGATAATTTTTAGTGCAAATTAAAATTCTCTTTCTCCCTCAGCATGTATTTGGTGATGACCCGCTGGCTGAATATAATTTTATTTATGATGTAGTCTGTGAGGAATATTCACAGAGGTTAAACTTAGCCTACATATAAAAGTCTCCTGAGCTCTAGCTGTAGCAAATGTGCAGACATTGTCAACAGAACACCTAAAATAATCTCCAAGGGCATTCCCCTCTCTCACTACAATATTCAGAAGCCAGTGGGAGACTAGCCTATTTAGGATAAAGTTAGCCTTTGGGAATGCTGCCCAGTGGATTGTTGTTACGGATGGATAATATGAAGATACCATTAATGTATCAAAGTGTATGCAGTGACAAATGATATAAGACTTGTTAAATATTAAAGCTACAAGAGAGTTGCAGTACTGCAATACTGAGCTTTTGCCCTCCTTGACTTTGTTCTGTGCCAGTACGCTACTCCCATGTACTTCTGCCAGAGGTGGTGCTAGAGGTGAGTGTCAGTCATAATCCAAGATGAGATTTCACTGTGAATTTTCCCATTAGTTAAAATCTGTATGAAAATGGTGGAGACTGAGGAAATCTCAGCAGGGAAAACTCTGGGAGCTTAACAACTGAACAGTTTTACAACAGTGGGACTAAGGGGTAACGAAATGCCTTTAAACTTTGAGCTTCTTTGGAGCTTTTATGCACTGAAACATTTATACATATGAGATCTAAAATAGCTTATTCTATTCTGTAAATATAAGAATCTAAAGAGTCCCTGAAAAGCTCTATCTCGTCCAAAATTCAATAGTAGGCTGGCTTCATCCCCAGCTTTGAGTACCATTTCCTTTGTACAGGTTTCTTAAGTTTTGTAATCACAAAATATGAAATGAATCTTTCCTGAAATTTCTGTAATCTAGAAAAATCATCAGCTCTGTAATTCAACTCCTGCTGTGGATAGTTTTAATGCCTTTTTAAGGCATTCTATCTTAGTAAAACTATTAGCATAGTCTTACCATTAAACTATTAACATATGTCTTTTTCTGTAAGACATATTACACAAAAAGGATATGACAACTAGATAAAAAGTCTAGGTAATCAAAATTAGGGAAATAAGTACACTGATATTGTGATATCTAATACAGTCAGTTTAATAGTAATATCAGTGTGTGTAAATTCACTTCAGATTACAATATCTTCCCACATCTCTTCATTATTAACAATATCAGACTCACACTTTTCACAACTCTGTCTAGTGTTTTCTGTCTATGCGGTAGGTATGTAGATACATATATATTAGATGCATATATATTTGGGTTGATTTTATTGCTTTGCACTTTTGTAGGTAGCTGCAGTAACTTTGCACCAGTGCAATAAATGTGCAAATACCAAAATAATAAATAACAAGCATAGTTACCAGAGAGTATCATACATTTCTGAGACAGAATGAAAGGCTGTGAAACTTAAAGTTTACTGTGGCTCATAAAATTCTTCAATGTGTTTTACAGATTGTGACAGATCAGCAAACAGGTCAAAAAATCCAAATAGTGACGGCAGTGGACTCAGCTGTGTCTCCAAAGCAACAATTTATTTTAGCCAGTCCAGATGGAACTGGTGCAGGAAAGGTGATACTGGCTGCACCTGAGACATCTAATGCCAAGCAGCTTATCTTTACCACCACGGACAACATTGTGCCAGGCAGAATTCAGGTAAATATAGTAATTGAGATAGACCATAGATTTTTGTTTTTCAGTTTTTGATTTTTATATTATTTAAGTCTATAATTACTTTAAGACAAATTGCAGTAGTTTTCTAAAGATCTAATTACATGGATTAGACTATAATAATTGTAGGCTTCATTATTCAATCATAAATCTTTCTGTCATGTTCCTCATGCATTCCATTGCACTCATCACCCCTTGTTGTGAGTTCTCATTAAAATTCCAAAGACTTAAGTTGATACTTGTGAGAAGTGCCAGGATTTCAGGTGGTCTGTTCAAGATTCACAGATACAGAGAAATACAACTTGCCTGAGGAAATTTACGTTCACAATACAGTATCAAGACATTGCAGTAAAAGCTCTTTGGAGCAGGAGCTGTCCTCTGTTATAGTTGTTTGTGGCTCTTGAGCATAATCCAGACCAATGGGATCTTGGCAAAACAAATCACATAAACAATAATCTATGTCTAGTGAAATTTCAGATTTCTTCCTAGCATTCTTAAAAAAAAAAAAAAAAAAGTGCCTGGTCACTATTGCTACTGTTACAATAGAGAATATTTTACAGAGAAGTATCATTCTTACATAAATATTTGAAAAATTGTATTAACAGTCTTTTAAAATAGATTTTACTATGCTAAATAGTTTTATTTGGAATTTCTTTTGCTATTACTGTTTCAACAGTCTCACTTTTGAAAGTGAAAACACCCATTAACTTGTGGTTTTTACTACTTAATTTCATTCCACATTATATTTATTCTCAAATTCAGCCACCTATTCCCAGTTGATACACCAATCTTGTTTTGTACGTGAAGCTTCTTACTTTCATATCAGAAGAAAATATTGGTTAATTACCTATTTGTTCTGGAATTTTGTTTTAGATAGTGACAGACTCTGCTTCAGTGGAACGTTTGCTGGGAAAAGCTGACATTCAGCGGCCCCAGGTAGTAGAATATTGTGTAGTCTGTGGCGATAAAGCATCAGGTAAGGAAGCAAGAAACTTGATTGAAGGATGTCTGGGATGAAGGGAGGACGTTTCATGTATTTTAACTGATTTTAGCCATGCTGATGGCAAAAGCAATTGAGTCTAAAATGGAAAAAGATAACATTATACTTTGTATCTATACACACACAATAGTTAAACTCTGCATGGAAGAATATTAGTTTGTACTTCAACTGGAGTGTATGATAAATTGACGTGTGCTGAAAGAGGAAATAATTATTTAATATCTCCTGGTAACTGAAAGAAACTATATGAAGCCTTTAGTCTGGTTCCCCACAGCTGTGGGCAACCATGCAATTAACCTTATCACCTAGAAGTCTACCTGCTCCAGGAAAACGCTACTTAGTGCTCTCTAACAAACTTAAGACATCCTGGTAGATTTTGATTTTTTTTTTACTGTCACAGAAAAAGGCAAGTAGAGACCAAGTGAATCATCAGTGTTTCAGATCTATGCAGTAACAAGGAGTCTACGAGGTACAATGTCTACATTAGCCAAGGAAGCGGACTGTGCTTTCATGCTACAGAGAAGACACCTCTCTGTCATGCTTTCTTTTATTTTTAAGTGTTTATGTAATTAAAACAATGCCAGAATTTATATGTATAGAAATTTTAAATTAAGATTGCATTTCAAATTTTATTGTAAAATTACCTATATTCTCAATTTACTTAAAACTCTTAGCCTATATGTTCTTTTAATGTAACCTGTAACAACAGATAGAATTGCATCAGTACTTGTCCAAAATGGGAACTACCCATTCACAGGCCTCTCATTCAGAAGTAGGCTTAGACTTCCTCTCTTCTCTCCACACTCTCACCAAAAAACCCTCACAACAGGTAAACAGGAAACATCCTGTAAGACTTTGTCAATGCTTTTATGGTCCAAAATGATGGTAAGAATGCTAAATAAATTTAAAGGGTGACTTTTACAATGTTTTACTTGCTTAAGTTAAATATTTTTATGCTAAAATGTAAGTAATTTCCATTCAATAACAATATATATGTTTCCTAGGTCGTCACTATGGTGCTGTCAGTTGTGAGGGATGCAAAGGATTCTTTAAAAGGAGTGTGAGGAAGAATTTGACCTACAGTTGTCGTAGCAACCAGGACTGTATCATCAATAAACATCATCGGAATCGCTGCCAGTTTTGTAGGCTTAAGAAATGTCTAGAGATGGGCATGAAAATGGAATGTGAGTGTTAAGTACCCAATGTGATACTGTGACTTCCAAATAATAAATACTACTACTTAACTAAGCCAATAAAATGGATATACCTACTTTTAAGACCCTAAAATTTGTCCCAAATATTAGCAAAAATAAAATCAAGAGCTAAATTACTCTTGCTGGTTATGAGGGTAGAGAGAGACATACCCATGTATTTTACTGTTACATTCAAAAGGACTATAGAGGAAGGTTGAATTTTTTTGTTTGCTTGTTAATGTTAACCTTTTAGATCAATAGCTGCTGTATGATTAATTGGTACAATGACTAGCACAGAATATTGTCTCCATTTGTATTATCCCTTATATCTGCAAAGTGTGTGAGAATTAATATCACTGCAACACTTTTTAATATTCTTTATATTATCCTCATAGTCTTTTATTCATTTTATTATCCAGATTTTCAGGCGAAAAAACAATGCAGTCGAATGTTATGCCAAACTATAGAGGACTTTGTAAAGTTCAGTGATTTAGATTCCAGTTAACCTTCTGTAATCTGTTTAATAATAATACCTTACTATTATAAATACACACTTTTCACTTCTTTTAACATTACAAAGCTACTGTTTCTTACTATTTTTATTAAAAGATTTATCACACTTGTTTGGCACACTGGAGACTGAGCTTACTTTCTTCCAGTTATAAAGTAGAAATATTTTAAATTCTGAAAAGGTTTTGGAACACTCTTCCCTAACTGGGTGGAATGAATGAATGTGAGTGAATTACATTTCATGCAGAGACTCATCTCCCATGGAATTAACCTGCATCTCTCTTATAACTTGCCTGTCTTGACTTTTTATGTGTCTGTTGTGGGTTTGTATTGTTCTGAATCATCCAGAGTATGACTGCATCTAACACTTAAGTATAGCTTTACCTGTAAAAAGTAAATAAATAACAGTTTGAAAACACATTTTACAGAATGTTCTATCTTGTTAAATGCCAATGAAATAGGAAGGTTTGACTCCAGTTCAGCAAAATTTAAAGCACATTATCAATCTGTGACTCTAGTTAAAAATGTACATAAGAGAGGTATAGTAAAACTGGAGCCAGTGTTTCTTCTGTCTTCATATTAAACTTCCAGTTTTGTACTGAGCTGATACAGCATCATAACTGAGCAAACTAAAATCCTTCTGTGAGAATTTTTACTTTCTGTGTTTTTCAGTTGAATTCTTCCCTTTCAAATCTGCACGTTTCTGTCTTTATATAGCGGTTTTTTTTTTAGAAAGCCTTTTGATGTGCAGCGTGAAAAACCAACCAACTGTGCAGCTTCCACTGAAAAAATCTATATCAGAAAAGATCTACGAAGTCCTCTAATAGCAACTCCAACATTTGTGGCAGATAAAGATGGGACGCGGTGAGTATCTCAGTGTAACGGGTCTTGTTTAAGGTTATTTGCGCATATTACTTTGCAGGCACACCTATACTCTCTTTCCCCTGCCTCTGCTCTAAAAATTGGACAGAGAAGAGCTCCAGTTTACTAATCAGCTGTTGTCTGTTACCAAGACCAACCTAGATTGTTCTGCTTCTCAGAAACCAGAGACTGGTTTCAACAACAGCAGCTTCCTTTTACTATGTGGAAGATATGCCAAGACTGTTCCCATGCTCTCAGTTGTCTCCGTAGGCAATGGGTGTGGAAATGCGTATTATAATAAATAGAGGCAAGATTTGTGTTTTTCGGAGTAGAATACAAAAGAACTCTAGGTTAAATAGCACATTTTAAAAACTATAGGTCCAGTTAAGTTATGAATGGGTAATAACCACCTAAAGATATTGTATCTCAATATTCAGATTTTACATATATATTTTTTATATATATATATCTA